TGTTCTTGGGCTTTTCTTTGTTGGCAGCCTTCTTATCACTGCTTTTATTGAATTGTTAATCACTGGTCATTTCAAGTCTTCTGTGGCTTCTAAATTCACTTTTTTGCCAGTTATATGTGTGTAGATATAGTATAGCTCACCCTCTGGATAAGTCTATGTGTGTAGAAATGTATACATTTATTCTAGGTCTTCTAATTTATTGCAGCATAATTTTTAAAAAATAAACTAATGATCCTTTAGATTTCTATGATGTCTTTGATGACTAATATTTCACATCTCTAATTCTATTAATTTGGGTCTTCTCTCTTTTTTGTTTAGTATGGCTAAAGTTTAATTATTTTTATCATTTCAAAGAACCCATGCTTTGTGCCATTGACTCTTTGTATTGTTTTTTAATTGTCTGTTTCATTGATTTTGGCTGTGACCTTAGTTATTTCCTTCCTTCTACTGGTTTTGGAATTGGTTTGTTCCTGTTCTTGAAGGGCCTTGAAATGCATCCTTATTTCTTCTATCATCCATTCATCATTCAAAAGTACATTCTTCAATAGCCATGTTTGTATATGGTTTCTGGGGTTTTTCTTGGTGTTGATTCCTATTATTTTTTTGTGATCATGTAAGTTATAAGGAAATATATATAGTGTTTGCTAAGAGTCACTTTGTGACCTAAAGCATGGCTCTGTGAAGATTTTACTTTGATCCTATCCCATTAATTGATTCTTGATTTTACTTCTTGCACTTTAGGAGTCTTGTTGAGGAAGTTGTTTCCCAAACCGAAATGTTGGAGTGTTGGGCTACATTTTCTTTTAGTAGATGCAGGGTTTCTGGTCTAACACCTTGATATTTGATCCACTTTGAGCTTTATGCATGGTGAGAAAGTGGGGATAAATTTCATTCTGCTATCTATGGATTTCTAGTTTTCCCAGCACCATTTGTTAAAGAGGCTCTCTTTCCAATGTATGTTTATGGAGTCTTGGTCCAGTATGAGATGATGTTGGAGACCAGCTCCAACAGGGGGTCTCAGAAGATGAACGGATGGTGAGGAGTCGGCAAAAGAGGGGGTGGAGAAACAACACAGACACCAAAGTGAAGGTGTTGATCCCAATCTTTACTTGTGAAGTTGATCATATATACTTTTCATTTTGGCAGGCTCACAGTACTTTGTGGTTACAAAACAGGAATCATTATTCAAAGAAATGAAGTATTACGTAGCTACAATTAGAATAGAAGAATGTATCTTGGCTTATGCATAAGCAAGCATTTGTACTTTCAGTTCACATTTTGCTTTGAGCTGTTCTGCTTAGTTAACTTTTAATAATAGTTACAAATGTCCCAAACTATTGGCCTATACCTTGACTATTCTTTCTTGACTTACTGACTGGAACTGGTGCCATGGTTACGGCAAGTAGTTGATTTGTTATTACTTTTAATCAAACAAAAGTAAGAGCACAAACCATTGTGCACAGGAACAAGAACAAGTTGCCCAGTACTAAGCACTAATCTGTCTTCTTAACATTAATTTTTCTTCTCTAGATTTTAATTTAATTTCTCAAAAACTTCCTTGACAGGAATACAGGGAGTTTTTCTTTAGACATTAACAATTTACACTCCACAGCTGAATCATTGCATTTAGAGCAAACAGATCTATGCTTTAGAAGTAGTTGCATTAATTGGGAAAGTCATGATTTTTCCTTCATACTTAATGGTCATATGAGAAATCGCAACTATACTTATTAAAGGAATACAAAAACAAATCAGCCCATTCCCAGAAACATACTGCGCTCCTCCAGAGGATGGACGCCTTGCGCCATCCACCTCAGTAGGGCCTTGCCATTGCCTGAGTCAGGGGAGGGGCACAACAAGATGGCTGTGTTTGTATGGGTTTATCACTGTGTCTTTATTCCATCCCATTGGTCTTTGTGTCAGTTTTGGTGCCAAAACCATGCTTCATTTGTTACTATAGCTCTGTAATATGATTTAAGGTCTAGTATTGTGATGCATCTTGTCTCACTTTTCTCACCAAGGACTGCTTTATCTATTCTGGGCCTCTTATTTCTCCATCTCTTTCTCTTTACATACCTTAAAATGCATTTGTTAAAAGCACCCATTTACCCATTAAAAGAGTTTTCCATGGTATAGATGGTATTGATTGCATCTCCATATTATAATTTAACATTCCCACCATATGTGGATGGGTCTCTTATAATCAGTAGAAAGCCTAATTTGATGGAAAAGATAAATGAGAATTTCCCAGGACTCACTGGCTTCATGCTGAATACACAACATCAGCTTTATCTGGGTGGTGGGCCTGTCAGTTTGAAATTGAAAGTATGCCATTGATTCTCCTGGTTGTCCAACTTGCCAACTGCAAATCCTGGGACTTGTTGGCCTCCATAACAACAGATGAAAACTCTATACAAATGCATACACAACCATACACATGGATATTGGTTCTGTGTTCTGGAAAATGCTGATAAATATAAATTATGAGGTAAATTTTGGGGATTAGAACATGGTCATATTTGGGAGGTCATCTTTTGTCTTTTGACAGGTAAAGGAAAAATAATATTTTTCATTTGTGAGTAAAATAATTTTGGGCATATTTCAAAAATAGCTCATATTTTTCCAGCCAACGTAATTGAAAGCATATTCAGAAAAAGACAAATTTTGCACTTTTGAGTTATAAAAATGTTAAATTTTAAAAAGCATTTTAAATTTGAAGGAAGAAGAAACAATGAAAGTTAACTATAAAAATATACCAAATAAGCTGCCCTTTTAATTCTGGGCAATTAAGAAACAAAAGAAAACATGAAATAATTTTTAACATGGTCATAATAATATGCCCACAAATTCTTATATTTAGAATTGCATTTATATGAAGCTTTACATTAACATGCAGTTATTTTCAATGACTATTATGTTAACTTCATAATCATGTTTTATTTTTAAATTATAAATTTTTGAGAAAGGAATGTCATGTGGTGATAGAATAACAGAAAACAGTGAAAGAGCCTAGGCTATATCAGAGTTTGCAAAAGACATTAGTTTTTCTAAATGTAAAATTAAAACACAATTTAATACAAAGATGTTCTTGTCAATGAAATAGATATGTTCTGAATTTCTATTTTTAGAATCAATTTTAATTGGTCTCTTTCAAGGTATTCAGTCATTTTTTCAAAGTTGCTGATTTTATTGTCATAACAATTTTATAATATTCTTTTAAGCTATTTAAAAATATTTGTACCATTATTACTAATATTCCTTTTTCATTAAACACTGAAAATTTGTATGTTGTTTTTATTTTTTTTAGTGATTTATTGCTTCTAATATGATGAAACACCACATTTGACAGCTAAGTTAGCAGTGGGACACAAATAAATTTTATTTTTAATTATTTTTTTAGAATAGAACATATACATTCCCATATAAATATCAGATGCCTTCTAGAATCAGCCAGTTTTTGTAAACAATGCATTTGTGCAGATTTTCATACTTTGATTCAAAAGTTTGAGAAAAATTAGGTAAAGGCAAATTTAGTATCCAACCCAGGGATGGGAGTGGGTGGGGGTGAGTTCAGTTTGGCTTCCATAAACATATAATACCATTCCTCTTTTTAAAACAATAGCAACAAACAAAAAGCCTAGCAGTACATTAAGGAAAAAAAAAATGTTTAAAAATGTTGCAGTACTCTTTTATTCCCTCCCATCAAAAACCAGCAAAAATAAAGTGCAGCACCCATAAAAGTGTCAAAACAAAAAATACTCAAATTCTTCCTCTCATAACATAACAAAATAGCACTTAGTCTCAGCAGTCTTAACCAAATTATACAGTGTTCATCATTTGGGGTTCATCATCTTCTTTATGTACCACTGAGTTTAAACTGCAAAGAGCTACATTGATAAAGTACTGGAGAAAATTTGGATTCTGTGATCAGGATTCTAACAAACCTATAGATCCAACATCAGAATGGGGAACATAATTCTGAACTGACCTAGGTTGAAAACTTTCTGATTAAGAATAAAGTCTTACTCTTGACTGGAAAGCTTCAAGTTCATTTTTGAATACTTCAAAATAATCTTCTTCCTCTGCTTTGGCTCTCTGGAAAAATAACAAAAACACCTCCTTGAATCCACATTACAGTTTTTGGGCATTTCAATAATAAATTGCATTACAACAGCTTGATGTGTTATTTGTTCCATTAACGCCCCTTTCTGCTCAGCTTCGAGGTGAAAACACCATAAAATAAGATATTTAGCAATTTCTTTACATACAAGGTACAGAGAAAAACCTCTATTATCCCATCAACTCAACATAACAAAATATCTGATTTTTTGTTAATATTTCTGCATAAATGATTTTATCTTCCTCTTCTATTTATTTTATCTTGATTAATAAAAGTGTTATTAAAAACATACTTGCTGGGGCTGGGGTTGTGGCTCGGTGGTAGAGTGCATGCCTAGCACACGTGAGGCACTGGGTTCGATCCTCAGCACCACATAGAAGTAAAATAAAAATATTGTGTCCACCTACAACTAAAAAATAAATATTAAAAAAAAGAAAGAAAGAAAAGAAAACATACTTGCTAATGGCATCCATGTTCCACAGACACAGCCTTTCTCTGTGTATTAAAGCATCCTCTGTCTGTCACCATTCTGCTCCTTGCCTCAATTCTGATACTGCTCTCTGTGCTTTGTCATGTTCCTGATCCAAGGACTCAAAAGTTTTATAGTGCAAAATACCAAGTTTTTGATGAGCTGATTCCATTTGCACAATACAGAGCTTTTCACAAACTCTGCTTTTGGCAAACCAACACAATCCCATGGCTACACAACTGGGCACCACAATCAGGCAGCGGTGGGCAGCAGGGAGAAAGAGGCGCCCAAGTCCCTCTCTTCCTCAGCTTCACCCTCCGCCCGAGGGAGGCCCCCAGGGAGGTTCCAGGGTTCCAGCAACAGCCACCGTTTTTCCGTGTCCTACTGGCCCCAGCTCTTCAACTGCCAATGCTTAACTGACTGGAACCTGCGCCGCTGATCCAGCTGCCCCAGCGTGCCAGGGCCATACCCAAAATGCCTCTCTGCTTTTGTCAACTGTGATAAGTATGTAAGTACGAATTTTATTATATTTCTTAAAGATTTAGCTTTTATCTTCATTTATTTTACCTACTTTTCCCTGTATTTCTGCTCTTATCTCTATTTTGTTGCAACTTTTAAATCAGTTTTCAATTTGTATTCCATATTCATTTACCTCCTGAATATAAAGAAAATTTAAAAACACCTAAAATTATGTTAATTTTAGAATGTGTTTACATTGCTTTTGTCCACATATGTACACTTCTCTCATTCTCTGTTTTTCTGTCTCTCACACACAAACCTTCTTAAATAAGGGTTAATTTTTTTTTCTTTTTCAGTGTTTTACTTCCCACAGATAATATAGATTTTTGTCTTTCTCTATTTCTACTTGATTTTTTTTTCAAATGTAAGCTTTTAGACTGAAGGTGAAAATCTTTTAGCCAAAATAATGGTGTTCAAAACTAATATTTATTTAATATGAATATTTGTATTTACCCATGAGAAGTGTAATTCACTATTTCATTCTGTTGAACTGTCTATTATTCTTTAGTCAACAACACTGCTTCATAATAAACAGGTAATAATATAATTTTTATTATTTTAAACTGATATTACTCCAATGTACCAGTCAAGATTTTTATTAATTTATTTACTACTTTTGACTTTCCTGTGAATTTAATATTCATCTTCTCACCGTTCCAATCTCAAGATATACTGCTGAGAATTTTATTCTCAGAATTAGATACTGAATTTATAAAAATACATATAAAGTGTTTCTGAAATAGTATTAGTAAGACTACCTGTAAATCATTGTTTAAGTTTATTTTGGTGTTTTATATATTTCTGTGATAAATAAATGAGGAAATAATACATCTTAAATAATAACTCAAGAAAAAAAAATGGAAGAGGCAATGACTACAAAAAAATGCTGCTTTGTGTGTCATGTATTTCTGTAGTTTTTGAAGATTTATAGAGACACACAATACAAACATCCCAACTCCAGAGACTCAAGCCCAAAAAAATGATTAATATGCTTTTTCTTCATCCAGGATTTTTTTTCTCATAATGCATCTTAATAATGTCATAATCTTTCTTTTTTTTACTAGCAAATTTATTCTATTATCTATTTTAAAAAAGCAAATCTATAACCCAAATTAGGAAGAGTAGTTGAAATATAAACTGTGAAATATTTTACATTCACATTATTTTTTTAATCCCATTTTGCTTTTCTTCTCAGCTAAGATTACAGAAAGTAGAATGATTATATAAAATTCAGGGACTATCATAACACCTGAATATTTAAAACTGACTTTCAACAATCATTTAAATTGAGGGTACATTTGGAATATTTAATTTTGAATTAGATATGTTCATATAAAAGTTTAAACATCAATTTACCTGAGAAAAATATTGCTATTTTTGCCTCGAAAGTAGTTTTGGATCATTTGCTAAAAACTTGAATAAGCTTTAGTGAGAATTAGCTGTGCATTTTGCAACTGTCCTAAATAGAGAGTAAGTTAAAATTTATTTTACTGCATTTTAAGTGCTATGCAATCTGTATGACCACAAAATTTATTGTTCATACCTCATGTTTTCTGAGAACAAATTAATGTTAACCAGAAAGCATTCTGAGGCAATATAAATAAAATTTCAATTCTTCCAGGAAGACTAATGTTTTGAGTTTGCCATTGTTGTGAATTGAATGTTTTTAGCTATCAAAAATTCATGTATTTAACTCCTAACCCCCAATGTGGTGGTATTAGGCAGAAGGGTCTGTAGGAGGTGATTAGGTAATGAGAGTGTGGCCCACATGAACAGGATTGCTGTCCCTATAAGAGCAGGAAGAGCTTTCTTCCTCTCTGTTTGCTTTCAGTCATGGGAGGAAACAAACATCAACCATATGCACACCTGCAAAGAATCTTTCACCAGACTCAGCTCTGCTGGAGGCTGGGGCTTGGACTAACAGGCTCCATAATTATTAGAAATCTCTTTGTGTATCTAAGCTATCTAGTCATGATTTTGATTTTGATTTGGCATCCTGTAGGCTTCTTGAATTTGGATTTTCAATTCATTCTTCATGTTTGGAAAGTTTTCTGATATTATTTCATTGAATAGAATGTTCATTCCTTTGGTTTGGTCCTCTATGCCTTTCTCTATCCCAATAACTCTTAAATTTTGTCTTTTTATGCTATCCCATATTTCTTGAATGTTCTGCTCGTGGTTTCTTACCATTTTCACTGTGGGTCTTTGTTCATTTCAAGATGATATATTTTATATTCATTCTCTGATGTCCTATCTTCTAAGTGGTCTACTCTGTTGGTGATGCTTTCATTTGAGTTTTTAATTTGGTTTATTATTTATTTCATTCCAAGGATTTCTGTTTGGTATTTTTTTAGAACCTCTATCTCCATGTTGAGGTGATCTTTTGCTTCTTGGATTTGTTTATGAAGCTCATTGTCAAAGTGATCTTTCACTGCCTGTATTTGTTCTCATATATCTTCTTTGAGATCCCAGAACAGTTTGACTGTGTATATCCTAAAATCTTTCTCTGTAATTTTTTCTGCTGTATCTGCCAATGCTTCTAATGATGGGTTGTCTTGATTTGTTTGTGGTGCTTTCTTCCCTTGTCTTTTCATGTTGCTCATAAGTCTTCCTTTCCAGCTCTGTGGATCTGGTGTGTCATTGTTTTAACCCTATAGATTTGTAGTGCTCTTGTAGGGTTCTAAGATCTCTCCTTTATGGAGAAGGATAATGTTAACAGATCCCAATATCAACAGTACATAACCTATGAACAAATTATTGTTATTAAGACATTTACAGTATTCTGGTATAGCAGTCAAAATTGACGAAGAAGATTTTTATCACCAAATAGCAAATTAATGATCCCTAATTTCTTTTTCTTCTTATATTTAATGATTAAAGATAAATTTTGTCACATGCCTATATTTATAGCAGAACAATTCACAATAGCCAGGTTAAGAAATGAGCTGAGGTATATGTCAACAGGTGAACATGATAAAGAAAATTTGATATTTATACACAATGAATTTTATTCAGCCACAAAGTAGAGAAAAAATGTTTCACTTGCAGGTACATGGATGGAACTAGAGAACATCATGTTAAGCAAGATAAACTAAAATCAGAAAATCAAGTGTCCTTTTTTCTCTCATGTAGGGAAGCTAGAGAAAAAAAATTATAAAAAGAGAGGATCTCATGAAAATAGAAGGGAGACCACTATGGTAGAGGAAGGGGAATAGGAGGAGGAAACAGGGTAGAGAAAGGCGATGTATTAGAGAATTAAATTGCTTAAATTATGTGCATATATGGATATGCCACAATATAATCTACTATTCTATATAATTACTATGCACAAATAATTTTTTAAAAGATCAATATATTGTCTTGCTGTTAAATTTACTTCCCTTCCCTCTTTTTCTGACTTCCTCTTTGCTTTGTATCTTCTATAATTTCCTAAGTGAAATTATATTTATTAAATATGGATAGTGTTCTTTCTGATAGTTGTTTATTATTATGATGATGATGATTATTATATTTTTCCATTTAACCTCCCTCAGCCTTTAGCAATACCAGAACTTTATAAAATATTTAATATGTATTGAATGAGTATTTAAAGTTTTTATATTTAAAATCAGTGCCTCAAAATACAAATTGACTTTATTATCTTTATCTATTTTTGATTAATGTACATTATTTGCATATCAAAATAATTGAAGCACAGTTTAGTTAATTGCATCAATAAACTCCTAAGATACATCCAGGGAAAAGATGAAGGAGTAGGAATGTTGAGATTCACTTAATGTATGGTACGGTACAAAATTTACTAGTTTAAATGTTTTGCCTTTTATAATCATTTGAATTATTAATTTTCATGTGTTACATCTATATCTGATTAATTTACTCACATAAGTTTAAGATAGTAAATAACATCAACTACAAAGATTTAGAGTCAATTTGATAAGACTATAAATTTCAGTCATAAGAATATTTTGCTTCTTAATCACACTTAATTTTTTATACCACCATTCTAGCCTACATTTTCATGAGATTTATGGTTTGTTCCCCAAGATTAGAAACCATATGTTATAAAACAAGATATCTACCAAAGCAAGGAGTGAAAACTTTTTAGCCAAAAACCACTGCAATCCTGTGACATCTTTGGAGCATATGAGTGGCATGTTCATTCCAATTTTAAAGAGCACTTCTAACTGGAATTGAAATGTTGATGGAAATGAAGTAAGACAGGACCAGGAAATAAGAAAGCTGACTGGAGTTTTCTAGGAAAAATTGGGATGAGCCAAGTCAGAGTGATGACACTAGGGATACAAGGGGGGATATTTAATATTACAAGTGGTAACATTGACTGCATTTTCCCATTAACTATATGATGGGAATATAAGAATAACAGAAACTGGTCCCTAGATCTCTGGCTTGGGAGTCTAACATCTGGATCCACTTGTAAAATAAGTACTGTATGAGGTGAATTCACTTTTGGAATATCTGGGTTTATTTTCCACCCTTGCCCATCATTAATTCATAATAATTTATTTTGGAAGCAGGTTCAGTCCTGTAAATGGAGAAGAAAATAAAATATGTTGCCCTTTTATATGTGTTGCTTTCTTTTTAATAGCAGTGATAGAATGAATACCAATAAAGCAAAGAATAGATTGTGAATTATAGTAAATGCTACTTTAAAAGAAAAGATAAATCTTTTGAAAATTCAGTGCAGAAAAGTGGCTCTTTATGGTAAAATGTTGTGAACTTATTTTGTTAGTGGCCAGGTGGTAAAAGTGTGAGGTTAAAAAACAGAAGCAAATGTATTATGTATTATGTGGGTACTTCTGTATCAATTGAAGGTAAAAAATTACAGACATTTTATTGTTGAAATCCCAAAGCATAGTTGTATTAGTTATTATGGGCTGTGATAAAAATCACCATCTACTGGGTGATTTAAATGATAGAAATGTATTTTCCAACAATTCTGGGGGATGGAAGCCTGAGAAGTAGGTACTG